TCTAACGTTTGGCTGACCCATTGTTATAACATAAAGCACATTGTTATAATTTAAAGCAAGACAAACAAATATTAATTTTTTTAAGTAACATTTTTGTGATTGACATTTCTCACAGTTTGATATGAACATCCTCTAAAAGACATTGAAAGTATCAAGTATTACAAAAACCCATTTTGTTAAGATTACTTTTTTAAATTCTTAATTAAAGAATTATTTTTAAAACGTTTTACAACTATTAAGTGCCGCATGTTTAAATAGCTTTCTTGTAAATATTAACTGAAACCCACCATGTGCAAATGAAAACAAAAAACTTCAGAAAAAATATATAAAAAAATAAAAATACAATGTGAAATAATAAAATAAAAGACGCAAAAGATTAAAGAAACTTTATCAGCAGATTTCCACTGGGAATTAATTCACTTTATATAGATTAATCCTTCATATATTGACTATACATAAGAAATTGTAAACATTATTTGATTATTGATTTTTGAAAGTAGAATTTTGATTTACACGCATAAATAATAATGAAGGTAATTTTATTATAAGGTTAAATTTATGCAAGTTTTCTTAGTAATAACTAATGTTTTTTTTCACTACTTGTTTAAAAATCTTGTTGTAAAGATAGTCGTCATTTTTGTCGTTGTCCTAGATTTTGTGTCTGTGCATTTATTTTTAGTAATATATTTTAACTTTTTGCCATTTTATAGTATACAATATATAATTTAACATTATTTATGGGGTGAAGAATTAGTCAGGGTTGGGGGGGCTATAGTCCTGGGCCCTGCAGTTTTGAGACGCTCGAATTCAAAATATAAGATTGTTTTAAAAGAAACTCTGACAACAAAATCTTAGATTTTGTTTTTAGAGATGAAAAAGTTCTACCAACAAATTGATGGTACATCAATGGGTACAAGAATAGGACTGCCATATGCTAACTTGTTTATGGGTAGTTTAGATAATAAAATTCGAACCCAGTTCCCAACAATCAGTCCTTTTTATCCATGAAAAAGGGACTCTTGCTTAAATAGTAGCCCCGGATGTCTTAATCTCCGACTGTCTAAAATAAATTTTTTAAATTATTATTATTATTATAGTTGTAGCCGTAAATTTACATAGAATGTACACATACAGCGAGCAGGGGAAACACCCCACTATAAACAACCAGTTTTATAAATATTTGTTCCAAACTTTTTCCACAACCAGGAGTCTAGTCTATTTTTGAAAGAAAGTACAGTGGAGTACAGGAGTACAAAGTTATTTGCTCTGGTAGATTGTTCCAGTATTTTGCTGATCTATTATACAAATGATTATATCTTGGAAGACAGTTTAGAACATACTCACGCCTTATTTTAGAATGGTGACCACGAGACACGGAGTTAATATATTTTGGTAGATATTTATCATTAACTATATCAAAACGATGTATTAATTTAAAAATTTGGATTAAATCGCATCGAAGGCGTCGAAACTCAAGTGATGGTAGGTTTAATCTTTTTAGCCTTTCGCAGTATTGAAGATGCCTCAAGCTGTAAGCCCATTTTGTAGCTTTGCGTTGAACAGATTCAACCAAAGCCATATCAGCTTTTAAAAAAGGAGCCCAAATGGACACTCCATATTCAAGATGTGGTCTTATAAATACTTTATATAATTTGAGAGCCATTTTTTCATCAATGAAAGTGAATGTCTTTTTCAGCATACCGAGAATTTGTAAGGACTTAGAGACAACTGTTTGAATATGAGCGCTCCACTTGAGGTTAGATGTAAAAATGACTCCTAAATCACGTTTTTTAGTAGAGCTTCTTAGAGATTGGTTGATTTCTTGGTTATTTTGAAGAAAGTAATTGTAATGGGGGTTGTTTCGACCGTAATGAATGACGCAGCATTTTGAAGTGTTTAGCTTAAGTAACCAAGTGTTTGACCACTCGTATACCAAGCGTAGACGATCCTGCAGATCAACAAAATTAGATTGCGATAAGGTTTTAGAAAAAAGTTTAGTATCATCGGCAAATATCTCAGAAGTTTCAGTGAGTTTTGCGAGATCATTTGTGTAGAGAATGAAGAGGAGCGGGCCGAGAACAGAACCTTGAGGAACACCACTGAGAACATCAACCCATGCAGAGCTGGTATTGTTAATTGTAACGCGTTGCTTTCTGCCCACTAAAAAAGATTTAATCCATTGTAGGAGTTTGCCGTTTATTCCGAAAGATCTTAATTTTAACAAAAGTCTGTTGTGAGGTACAGAGTCAAACGCTTTGGCAAAGTCAAGATAGATCATAACATTGTAGATACGGTTGGAAATATTTTTTTCAGTTACTTTCATTTTTTTTTATACTTAATTTACCAAGAGTTTTGAACGTATTTGTTATTATTGGACCAACAAAGCATTTTAAATGGTCGTTAGAATTGTGTATGTCATAACAGATTGACACAATAATTACTGACTAAATTAAATAAAACACTATTAAAATTAAGATAGAAAAAAAACTACTATATGATGATTGACACAAGTGCACAATAGACTAAAAAAAAAAAATTGTATACTAAAGCTATAATCTTCTGAATAATTGGAAATATTGTTATTTAAGTTTATATAAGTAATTTTCCTTAGCGCCTAATCTTTATGGCGTTTTTAGTATTGCTAGCAAGTATACTAGAAGTAAATATTAAAAGGAAATAGTAAAAAATATAACTACTTATCGTTTTAAAACTAATTTACAAGTTTTCTTTTTTTGTGCCCACTTAAAGTCAACTAAATCTCTACGTCGAACCAGCCTACGTAAAATGCTGTTGGAACAATATTACAGGCTGCGTGAATTTCTATTATGTATGAAAAATGGTTAAGTGTTTTATTTTTAAATTAGTTGTTAGTTTTTACATATAAATTAATTTTCATGTTATTTCGGGGTTACCTTAGTATAAATACGTAAGCTTAGGAACAGAAGTAAGAAGCTATTTAACAAGTTTTAATTAACCAAAGTTATGTAAAAATAAAAACATTATTAGATGCTTCTTTAATGATACTTTATTAAATCTTTTTACAAAAAACTGTAAGAAAGTGGCTAAAAAAAATTTAAGTTCGTACATTGGTATTTTTAACAATCTATAAATCAAAAACCGAAAAATTAACTTTATGAAAAAGCTAATCAAACTTGCAGCAATCTGTTGTGTTGTAGGAATAAAGAAAAGTTTTTGAAGATTTGTTGATTTTTTTGAAAAGATTTGTTGTTGATTTTTTTGAAAAGATTTGTTGTTGATTTTTTTGTAGACTTTTTGTTATTATCTTTGCTTTAAAATGGATTAGTAATTTTGTTAAAAACCGAAACTGGTTATTTCTTATGTGTTACTTGTTACGTGTTATGTGTTAACATAAAAAAAAAAAAAAACTCCACGTTATGATTAAAAATTTAAGAAATATTTAATAAATTTAATAAATTTTAAGAAATATAAACAAAAATCTACTTTAAAAGTATAAATGTGATATGAGTTACGCGTGATCGGTAAAGTTTCTGATGTTGAAATATTTTTGTATTTTCATTACATTTGCGCCTCTTAAAAAAAGGGTCCTCCATTTCTAAGATATTTTAGAACTTTCAGATTCTAGAAGGGGGAGGGGGAGGGGGTTACATTAAATAAATCTACTATTTTGTAGCTTTTTGTATAAAAGCTACTAAAAAGTAGATTTATTTAATGTAAAAAATTATATACATTGAATAAAGTAATCATAATTTGCATCAAATTTTTTAACAAAGAAGTTCAAGAAAGTGAAAATCTGCTTAAACCTCTACATCAATAACATCAACAATAACAGAACATTTAAGAAATCTAATTGTTGTTATTAGTTGTTTAGTTTATTTATTAGTTGTTTGTTTTTTATTAAAAGTTTATTTTTAAAAAAATCTCTTTTTGTTATTATCTATATTCGATTTTTATTTATTTTGTAAAAACAGAACCTAAATATCTTAAAAGCGTTTTTCAAAACTAATTTATTGTTCATTGACCAAGAAAATACTTTTTTCTTAAAAAAAACTAGGAGTTAAAATAATAAAAACGTTTATATAATAATTTTCGTTATTTAATTTCTTTAGTGTTTGAAGTCTTAGAATGTAATTATCAGTTTACTAAGCAATAGGTGTATGTGAAGTCTTGTATAACAAAAGTATGGCAATTTGCATGCAACAAAAAGTATTGCAACTTAATGGAAATTCTACTTTCTTTTATTGCAATTATAAAAATTTTGTTGTCAAATAGAAATGACCGAATAACTAGTAATTTTTCATTGAACTATGAAAGTCTTTCTAAAAAAATTTAAAATAAAAAATTTCTAAATATTGTATTGGAACTTACCCTGTTCACTGTTGCAACTGGCCCCGGTAAGGATAAGTTACAACATTTTTTTTTTCATTATTATGTTAGTATTGTAAAGTAACTAAATTTTATATAATTTTTATCCATCTTGGATTGATACGTCACTAGACCTATTTTAAAATTTTTGGCTGAAAAATTTTTTTTTGTTGAAAAAAATATTTTTGATTACTGTTTTCTCTGCTGTTACTTTTGTACTGACTTTATCTTTTTTTAATATTTATATTGTTTTATATTTATAATTTGATTTATAATAAGATATTTATATTTATATTATACTATTACTGCATTTATTATCTTTGCAATTACTCATTGTTTTTACTCCTTAATTCTCGGAAAATAATAGTAAAATAAATCACTGTAAAAACATTGATGTCCCTGTTAGAACTTGTAAATACAATTTGACAAAAACAAAAATGTGACACTTTGAACAAGTTTACTTTTTCTAATATTGTTTGATTACATAAGCAATATGCATAATGGCAAATCTTAGAAAAAAAACTAAATATATGAAACTGTTCTGAAACTGTAAGGAAGGCAATAAATATACAAAAAATTGAGAAAATTTATGTTATAGTGTTTTTAAAGTTGAAAAGAACACAATGGAAATAATGATAACTTTTATTTTTATGTATACCTAAAAATTTTATTTATATAAAGAGGACAACCATTCAATTAATATAATTTAGTATTTAATCACCAAGTATTTAATTAATTTGGTAATTTAACTATTTAAAAAACTACCAAGACTGTTTCAAATCAAACTTTTGGGTGACAGCAATGATATCCTTATTGCTCAAGCTATATACATCACTGTAAAGGTGCTTTCAGTAAGTGAAGTTAAACACAACTTTTTATTTAACTAAAAAAGCAAATGTTACTATATATTTTTCTATATATATTTTTATATTACTGCATTTTATATTAATGTTTTTTTTTTTTAATTTTTAAACATAAATCTTTAATGTTGCAATAATCTTTTTTTTTTAAGATACAAAAATAGCACCTGAGCCATCGAATCTTTTAAAAAATACAAATAACACCTGAGCCATCGAGTTTTTTTAATAACAACAACACTGTTGTTTCTTCATTATAATGATACACAATTTGTCACAAGTTACAACATCCAACCCGGCAATAATTACAGCCAAATCTTTAACTTCGCAAGGGTTCCTAATAGTTGCATTTGCGTTAATATTAGTTACTGGAGTAATTGGAAACGCTATTGTAATATTTGTGTTTGGATATAAGTTGAAACACCGATCAACAACAGAATTGCTTACTCTATATTTAGGGATTACCGATTTGTTGTCTTCTTTTTTTAACCCGTCTTTATTCATTTATTGGACATTAACAGACTATAAACAATGGGATTTTGGTAAAACAGCTTGTTATATTTTTCCAACACTTGGTCCAATAATGACTTCAATTTCATCTGGATTGCTTCTTATATTTGCTATTGATCGATATATAGCTTTTGTCACACCATTTCGTAAAAAATTATCACAAAAAACAGTAAATATAGCGTTTACAATAGACATATTTTTATCAATACTTGTTTACTTCCACTATATTCTTGCACTAAAATTTGATGAAACATCAAACCTGTGTATTATTCCTTATCCCAATAGTTACAGTTATGGAATACCAAATTGTATTTTTATTATTTTACGCCTTTCCTTTTTTGCAACGGTCTTCTGTTTTACAAATGTAAAAATCTATCAAGCAACAAAAAAAAGCAGCATACACTTTTCAAGAATAGAAGATCGAATTAAACGCCGTAAACAGACAAAAAAAATCATGGTTATTCTTCTAACTATGGGAATAGTGTTTACGTTGCTTGTTTTCCCGAGAGAGTTGTTTTTTTTAGGTTACAATTTAGTTTGTCTATTGACAAAAAAATCTAAGTATTTAAATCCAACTTTGACTCAAATAAATTCATGGTTAAAAGTTGCTCATACAGCAAATAGTTGTGCTAATGTATTTATTTATTCACAAATGCAAACTTTATACCGAAAACAAATTGTTCGGATCCTTTCATATTTCATGGCCTTTAAAAAAACTTTTCATTTGAAGATTTCTTCTTTTCAAATGTCATACAGTAGCAAAATGAGTCAGTTTTCGTCATGCGTTATTGAACAGGAATTTTCAAAAGTACTTATATCGGAAGAAGATACAAATGAAGTTGTCTTTTTTCAAAGAGCTCAGCAGTGGAAAACTGGAATTCAAACACAAACAAAAGATTTTTTATAAGAGAAAACCAAATAAAGTATGGCTATATATATATATATATATATATATATATATATATATATATATATATATATATATATATATATATATATATATATATATATATATATATATATATATAATATATATATATATATATATATATATATATATATATATATATATATATATATATATATATATATATATGTAATAGGCGCCCGCAGAAAATTTTCTAAGGGGGGGGAAAAAAAATTTTTTGTTATTGCTTTTTTTCCTGTTATCTATTCAAATTTTGATTTTATATTCCAGAGTTTTAATTGTAATTTTATCTTTTAAAAATGTAGTGAGTAAACTACGAAACATGCTAAGATTGAAAAATATCGTGTTTTTCATACAAATAAGCAATTAATTATTTCCGAAAAAACTTAATTAGGTTTTTTCCGAAACTGTAACGAAGTATCACTAAAAGATATTTTTTACAGAAAAAATTAGTAACAAACTTTATGGCATGAAGAACGTTACAAACAAGAAATTTTTTTTCTATTTTTAGAAAATACAGGAGGGAAGGGGGGGGCAAGTGCCCCTTCTTGCCCCCCCCCCTTGCGGGCGCCCATGATATATATATATATATATATATATATATATATATATATATACATATATATATATATATATATATATATATATATATATATATATATATATATATATATATATATATATATTTATATATATATATTTATAGAAAAATAAAGGTTTTATTGATTTATGAGATGTATAAAGGTAACTGTAGTTTTTAATGTAAAAGGATTTCCAAAAATAATACACACTAGATAATTGGTATCGTGTAAGTCGATACCGAAAAGGATGATCTTGTATAGTCTAGTATATGCTCACATACTAATGTCGATCCCATCACTATCGGTTCATTACCATACTATAGCGGCCGCGACGATTTAAAAGCAAGCTAACCACTAGTTATTGTGCTTGCTTTTGAAGGAAGAGATCCAAGTTTCAAAACGAGCTCTGACCATATTTAGCGCCATTGATAAGGAAGTTAAAACTTGTTTAGCGCCATTGATAAGGAAGTTAAAACTAATTAGTCTTCTAAGGGAAAAACTAAAAAAAAAAAAGAAAGAAAAAAAAAGTAGAAAAGTGAATTTTTGTATTTTTTATTTGAAAAGCACAAGTAAGATTTGTTTTCGAGGTTTAATTAATAATATTTAGTTAATAATGTTATGAGAGGTAATTTGGTGATACCAATCATCATTCATAATAATATTGGTGATACCAATCATTATTCATTATGATTGGTATCACCAATCATAATGAATAATGATTGGTGATACGTGGTTTAATGATTACTAATGAATAATAATGTTTACTTTAGTTGTTAAATGTTGAACACATAAAGAAAAAATTTTTCAGATAATAAATAAAATACCACGGGAGATTTAACTAATGTAACAATTCTAGATGTGAAATTAAAATACGGAAACGATATCAAACAAACTAAAATAAAACAACAATACCAGATAAGAAAATAAATCACGGAAGCAATACCACAACAAATAATAAATAATATATCATACCTCAAAATTCTTGAAAATTTCGATACTATGTGAATCAATTATATAGGAGAGAGTCGAGAGAAGTGGGACACGGAAGAAACGGAATATCTCAAAAATTAAAAGTAGTCTCTAATCAATATTACCTAATGTAAACAATTAGACTTTTTCCATTTTATTTAGCAAATATCGCTTGTCTCCCTTTAATAAAAAAGACACTTTAATAAAAAAGACATTTTTAAAAAGTACGCGCAAAAAACAATTTTTTGAGGAGTGAAGTAAGACAAATAAAACTAATTAATCTTCTATTTCACTGTTATCGCTTCTGTGTAATTATATTATAAAAATATATAAATATCCTATTATCTCCCTCACCACTTTTGTTTTTATTATAAAAAATCTCTTTAGTATTTTTATAATGATTACGTGCTTTACAATTTTAATAATTTTTAAATAATAAATTTTGTTAATGCATTGTAAATTACTCGCTTATCCAACTTCAACCCATGGCTGTCCCATTTTAACCCAATGCACGGTTTCTCTAAAAACAAAAATATATACATCTATGTATACATTATTATAACTTACTGTCAATATTGGGGAATGGAATAACTTCCTAATATAACGCTTTATTTGTAAAATAGTATTTGAAGTAATACATAAGTTATATAAAAAGATATTAGAGTTAGTCTATTGATATTTTTTAACGTTCTTCTTTTTTCAACATCTTTTAACGTTCCTCACTCTCCCCAACGTCTCAATTATTAGGGAAAATAGATTATACACAAAAGCAAAGTGCAAAAAGACTTTTTTAAAAGTATAAACATTTATCTTTTAAATTAAGAAAAAAAAAATTAACTATTATGTACCTTAACATATACAACATAAAAGATAAATGTTAGAAAAAAACATGTTTTAAAATTAAAGGGTAACCCCGAACACATAGTTTTACCATAATATTACCTATTTTTACCCGTATGGCACAAATATAGTATATAGTTTGTTAGAATTGAAATGTTATCAACAAGTTTAAAAAAAAACTCGTTTTTAAAACTGCCTCTGATATAAAAGGGATGGCAATAAAAATTTCATTATTTAAAAACCTAAACATTAACAGTTTACTAATGAAAATAAACACTTTAAAAACAACTTTTTATATCTCAGGTCTTTTTATTGGAATCAAATTTTAAATGTGTATTATGTTAAATGTATCATTATTTATATAAAAATTTTACTCATTTTTAATATGTAAATGGATGAAGTTGTCCGGAATCACTCTTTAAACATCCAATACCACACGATCATACCTCACTCACAAATACTTATTTTAAAACCATTGAGTTTATTAATTAAACGATTTTTTTAAATAAATATTTTAAATAATAAGGTATCTTTAATCAAAAAGTTGTTACTTTACATAAAAATTAGGTATATTATTATGTGAACCAAATATGATACATTGCCCTTCTGGTGGTGGGAAAAGATATCATTTACTCCCAGTCAAATGCCTAAGCATATTATGACAGATATTTTCCAATGGTCATATTTTCACTCAATTTTTTTTTTTAATAGTATTTCAAAACATATAGTTTCTTAAGTTTAAATTGCACGTCAAGTGTCCGGAGTAAACCGACTACCGGCGCAACCCGACTTCTCCCTAAATAAACTTACTATTTCAAATTACTAATCGTTTAGAAAATAAAATAGAAATTCTCAAAAAGATAGGAGCTGCGATACTAAATGATACTATCTGTAATAAACGATACCAACTTAACCGATACTTTCAATAGCAGTACCACATGATCCCCATACTGATAATGTAAGGTATCGCACTAATACTAGACGATAAACTAAGACTCGATACCAATTATCTAGTATTTCCAAAACATTACAATTGCGTTTTACAAAACAGTAGAGTTTGTAGCATCATGTTTACCATGTTTTTTGTACTAACTGAAATAATCATTTTCATGTGTTTTGATGACCCAACCAGCACAACTCAGAAAAAAAATACTTTTTTTTTCTGTTGCGTATTTTAAGCCTTCTAAAACAAAAAGAATAACACGTGTCAAGAATAATTTTCATTCCGTGAAACTAACTACTAACTATTTAACATTTTTTCTTATTCCAAAAATAAAAACTAGTTTAGCCGTTTCGGAATAATATATTCATAAAAGTCAAATTGCAAAACGCAATCATTAAAATATGGGTCAAACAAAAACTTATTGTTTGCATTCAAACTTTTTTTTAATTGTATAAGGAAACTTTGACACTTTCATTTTCTGTTATATTTTAAATGTTTTGGCTGTTGTATTTCTCAAATAATTTTCTACTATACCGTTATCACGCATGTGTTATCACAGTTATCACACATGTGTTATCACTGTTATCACACATGATATACAGTTAAAAAATAAAAAGTAACTTATTTTACAGGCAAAAATATTTTTTTCTACAAAGAGATTGGCAACGAGCAAATAATTTTTATAACCTTTTTTTTCTAATACTCAGTTAGAATTGACCTATATTTGTTTTTTATGTAAAGTAAGGTTCTTTTACATACTTTTTTTACTTAAACGAGCTAGTTAATTTTTATAAAAAAGTAAATTACAGTAATTCTAAACGTTGAATGCAAATTTTCATTTCCAATTAAGAAATTAATTTTTTTGAAACAACTTTTACTTTATAATGTAATTTTTTCTATTTTCAAAAGTAAATCATGTAAAAGAAGATTATATCAAAAAGTAATTTACTTTTATATGTAAAAAAAATCACATGAAAAAGCTGTTCACTTATACTTCTAAAAGTTAATTACTTTTTAAAATTACATTAAGTAATATAAAAATTTTTATTTACATTTATTTTGCTCTTTAATAAATACAATCAACTTATATATACAAAAAAATACGTATCACCAGGTACCGTTTTGTATGTAAAATATAAAATAGAATGGATTTTTTTAATGATCTTTATTAAACAAAGAATTTAACAGACGGGGGCTCAAAGAAGATAAGGATGACGAAACGTTGTCGCAATCTTTTCATAGAGCCTCTTAAAAGATTTTAATAAAATATAGTCATTTTTACTTTAAAAAAAAAATCGGAAACTAAGAAACTATAAAAGCGTAATAGTATTCTTTATTGCGCTAAAAAGGAAAACAAACACAGACAAAAAAAAAAAAAAAAATGAATAAGACTGAAAAGACTGATCAAGAGACTTCCGAGTAAATATTTGCACAAATATAAAAGTTTTATAAAAAAATATAAAATTTCAAGTTTTAAAAATTTCTGTTTTTGTTAGAGACTTAAATGAACTTAACGACTTAACCATACACTTGAATTCTTTTTGATAGGTATTCCAATAAACTTATTATTAAAGTTTGTTGGAGAGAGATTGTTATTAAATCGATAGATAAAGATTAAATGCTGATAAGTATTTATTTCAAATACATTCATCATTTTCATATCTTTCATTAAGGCTTCAGCGTGTTCACGTTTAT